ATTATCTCGACCTTGATGTTGTACATTTGTTTATGTAGCTTAGGACTGTTTTTGCTTTCTAAAAAAATCTTCAACATCCTGTTCACACATGTTCAGTTGTGATCCACTAAACCCTTTACACAGTAGTCAGAATTTCTGTATGTTGAAATTCATCTTAATGAGTTTTGCCTAATGTTCAAATATGTCATGATCCTTCTGTGCCTTAAGACTTTTCTCTAAGGCATTTGCTATGCCTTACTATTTTTATGTCACCTAAAAATTTGATAATATTTTTAAAATCTTTTTCTAAGCTATTTATAAGTATGTTGAATAACTTTTAGGGTTAGTAAAAAAGCCCCACACTATTTATTTATATCCTGCCTTTATTATTTTTCTAAATAACTCAAGGCAGTGAACACATACTTCTATTTTCCCAATAGCAACAATCCTGTGAGATGAGTTGGTGAGAGAGAGTGACTAGCTCAAAGTTACTTGACTTTGGCTTTCATGCCTAAGGTGGGACTAGAACTCACAGTCTCCTGCTTCTAGTCTGGTGCATTAACTATAGACCAAACTGAATCTTATTTCTACTATATCTTCTGATGTATACTCATTGATGTAATTGTTCACCCAGCTCTGTATTCATCTAATGGGAGCATCAACTACTATTCCATAAGATACTAGCCTTCTCCCTATCTTTGTGTTATAATATCAAATCACAATTTCCAAACCCACATTCAAATCATTTATAAATATGTTGAACAGCATAGGCCCTACCAAAAAACTCCATTTATTTATGTATTTGCCCCCTGTATTATCACATCTATTAAGATTTCACATTTTTAAGTCTTTGTTAAAAAAAAACATAAATCAAGACATTAACCATTTGTGACCAATCATTATTATCTGAATTGTGCACATCTGTGAGCATACAGTTTTCTGTTAAATGAATACAAATTCTATATTCATGTTACTTGAATAGATCATGATATAGCCTTTCTTCCTACTAAGCTACAAAAAGCCAAATGATAGCTTTGTAGCAGTATAATTTAGAAGCTAGAAGAGAAGAGAATAAAAATCAAAGCTTGTCAGAAAAGCATGAGAGTTATTATATTCTGAATGTTTATCTCAGAAAAAATATTTTTGATAGGTTCTGAAAATGCTGTCCTAAATCCAATTTAGTCCATTAAAACTTTCCTTTATCTGCACTATTGTAATAAAACATTAATTGATCAAGATTCTTTGTGCTCCAATTCCCAGCAAACATGGTCTTTTGCACACTCTTGCAGCAGAGTTCAGAAATTTTTTTCCAGGAAAGGTAAGTCTGTATTAGCATAATTTTCCCCTGTTTCTTGCTGCTTGATTATGAACATGCAGAAATAGCTGGCATGAAACAATACCAAGCTTAATACAATAGCAGAGTTGGAAGGGACCTTGGAGGTCTTCTAGTCCAACCTCCTGCCTGGGCAGGAAACCATATACTGTTTCAGACAGATGGCTATCCAACATCTTCTTAAAGACTTGCAGTGTTGGGGCATTCACAACTTCTGGAGGCATGCTGTTCCACTGATTAATTGTTCTAACTGTCAGGAAATTTCTCCTCAGTTCTAAGTTGCTTCTCTCCTTGATTAGTTTCCACCCATTGCTTCTTGGTGCTAAAATCTTAATATTAAAATCATCTCAATTATCTGAATGATTTAGAGAAGCAAATGGAATGTATGTAGAAAAAGATATTTGGAGGACTTTTAAAGAGAATATAATTTCTTTTTAAAAACAACCTGAAGGCTTGATTATTATACTTTTGATAATAGCAAACTTGGAAGTTATTTATATCAGAATATTACCATAAAGACTATTGCAAATATCTTTATAGTTTTTTTAGAAAAAGTATTTGTTTCTAGCTTCATCACTGTCTCTAATGCTGACAAAATGCAGTCATAATAGTATCCTGATGCATGTGTACAACTTTTTCTGNGATTAGATCAACTAAACCTATAAACCAATGACATGGAGGAAGAAATAAAAGTAATCTCCATTAATATAAACGGACTAAATTTGGCAACAAAAAGAAGAACATTCAATAAATTAGAGAAATTGAAACTGGACATTATATGCTTACAGGAAGTACATATTAGAAAGAAACACAGGAAATTTTTGGAACAGGCAAAACTTGGTAATTTATATATGACCCTGGCTGACCAAAGCAAAAAGGGAATAGCATTATATATTAGAAATACAATACAATCAAATAAAATTTTTGAAGATGGGGAGGGGAGAATACTGATGGTGGAAATAACAATGAACATGAGAAAGATATTATTAGTGCCAATATACACTCCAAAGGACAAACAAGAAGAATTTTCTGGAGGAGCTGACATCACGACGATCTTGGAGCTCCAAGATCGCAGTCGATATTTCTGCTGCTGGATGGTCCTTTTAGACCTAAACCGTCCCGCAGAGATGGTGATAGTGAAGAGTACGTCCTGGACACCACAAAGTCCCTGATTGATCCAGGAGAAACTCTTATTTCTGACGACAGAAACACAGCCTTTGAAGCTGCTGAAGTTGGGACAGCTCCGTAATGGAAAGAAAGCGGAAAGAGAAAGCGTGTCGAATTGGTGAGGAAATTTTATTATTAGAAAAGAGACTACCCCCAAAAAAATCTAAGTTAAATTAAAATTGAAGACAGAAGAGAGTAAGTGGCAAAATGAAGCTACAGTAAACTTAGTCTGTTATCTTTTTTAAATTCTTTTTTATGGATGGATTTTTTGCAAATGTTCCCTATTTTTTAAACTGAATGGACTAGTTTTTCTTCTACTTTTTTTTTTTGCTTATACCTATGTGTTCTGTCCCCCCCTTCACGGCTCTTAACAACAGCTGCCCTGTGTTGAAGCCTTTAAAATGTTCCCTGAATGGAAGAGACTTAGAACACCAGTTCCTATACATGCCTGAATGCCCAGTTCCTCTTTTGGGTCGTGATATCCTATGCAAAATGGGAGCTAGACTGTCCTTTGANAATGTGGCATCCCCGTAGAGTGGAATGGCCAAATTGGACACCTAATTTCTGCTTGGAGAGCACAGATTAGAGATTCTAGATAGGTAATCTGTCTATGTAGACTAGAAATTTGTTTACAAAGGGGACAGTATTTAAATTTGAAAAGAGTACTGCGAAAGACAGGTGCAAGACAGCTATTACATTGAACTAAACTGGTCATTTTGAAACAAATAAAATCACAATTTCAAGCGCACTAATCCAGAATGTATTATTACTATTTTGGTTTATGGACATATGATTCTCTGCTTCCCCGCTTCCAGCCAGCAGCTCCAATCACCAGCCACAGGAAAGTTCAAATGAAATGGAGTTAAGGGGCCACTACCTGCTCCTCTTTTTCTCTCTGCTTCCCCCCTTGACCTTGGAGCATAGATAATTCCTCCAGAACTGCAAACTCTATTTTTTGGTTTGGTTGTCTATAGTTTGCCTTTATTTTTTATAAATAACCCATAGCAGCAAACATAACCAATAATTATTTCTCCTGTTTTCTTCACAACAACAACTCTGTGAGGGGTGTGTGTGTGGCCTGAATTCCAGCAACAGGACGTGTTCTCCGGAGGGCTCTCTGAAGAACCATCAGATTCCTGCTGTATTGGGGGAGGGGTGACCTGTAACTCAACCACAGCTGTCCTGTAGAGACAGTGAAGGGGGGGCGCAAGTGGGTGTGGTTGGGGAACCCGGAACTTCCCTAAAATGCCTGCATTTGCCCCTGGACCCAAAGCAGGAAAGGTAACCAACATGAGCTATTGCAGCTGGAAGGCCAGACAAAGCACGGGAATCAAGGTGGACAGCATCTGGGTGAGATAATAAGAATGCTTGAAAGTGCAACATTCCTGTAAACTAACTTTTAAAACTCCTGTTAAAGCTTTTTAAAGAGAAAGTGGCAGAAGAAAGGGGGGAGAGGACATTACGAAGGTCTCACTCCCTCGGGTCAGCAGCGAACGGTTGGAGCCATTAGATAGAACAAAGGAAGTGATAGACCTTGAGAACTGCTTAAGGATGTTAGAAAGCGAATTGGAAGCCATTGCTGTTTAACTTTCACTCTATGCCTATGATTTTCTTGGTAACTTGGTGACTTTTGAGAATTGCTTAGATTTGCTTTTGAAGCTAGAAACGTAAGAGAAAATATGTTGAATTAATTATCTGCATTGCTGTCTAGTAGCAAACAGTACCCTGTAAAATCTGCCTAAGAAGAAAACCTTGAAAACCTTGTGGATAATAACGAACTGATAAAAGTCCTCTAGAAGAAAGGAATAAGACCAACTGTCTAAACATTGCCTTGCCTTCCCTTGCTACATTATAATGGGCTGTTGAGATTGTCGTCCTGTTAGTGTGTGCCTCCCCCTTCTGCCTTGGAGGGGGGGGAGGGGAAGAACTTTGGATAACCCAGACAACTCATATGAAAGGTTTCCTTTTTTTTTCTCTTTGTTTATTTGGCTACTTTGGGTCATTTTTTACCTACCCAACTTTTTTTTAATCTCTTTTTTTACCTCTTGCAATGAGGTGTGGATTACCATCGTGGAATTAATTTTGTGGGTTTTTTTTTCTCTCCCCATTTTTTTTGAGGGGGGGGGAGGTGAGTGCCTTTTGACCAATATTTTTAATGTGTCTGTTTTTCTTCCCCTTGTTTCCTACCTTTTTTCCTTTTGCTACTTCATGTGGCCATTATAAAGTGATTGGATTAAGGTAGCAAGAACCTGAAGACGGGGCCCAAGAACAGGGGTCGGTTTATTGGAGGCTGGTGCTTGGGCCGGTGTGAGCCACTCCAGGACTACAATTAATTTACTAACCTAGTTTTTGGATTACAAAACTTGATAACAAATTAAATACAACAATGTCAGATCCAAATACCAAGATGAAGAAAATAACATCATATGCATCTGCAACAGCTACCCCACCTGGTTCAGTGACACAGAAACCAGCAGGCACATGAACACAACAAGACAAAGCTATTTTGGAGCTAAAAATTATGTTGCAAGACATACATGCGGATATCAAGGAGCACATAAACAGAGTAGAAGAGAAAGTTGACAAAGAGATAACAGAGAAAAAAGTGGAGGAGATGGACTATAGGCTGACAAGATTTGATAAAAATCAGGAAGGAGCCAACGTATTGTGGGAGATGGAAAGATCTGAATTCTATCTAAAACTCCAGAACATAGAAGAGGAGAAAGGAGAGAATTTAGCAGAGAAGATCGCAGAAATTCTCTCAGTGGCTACAAAAATGAGTAAGGAATATATTCTAGGCAGAATGGATGAGACTTTTAGAGTATATACAAGATATGCAATGAGAAACAACCCTAAAAAATGAAATATTGCAAGCAACAAGAAGTACCACAATTAAATACAAGTCTAGAGAGATAGTGGTATTGAAGCAAATTCCAAAGAAGATCAGAGAAATAAGAAAAGAATACCACTTCCTGACTAAGAATCTGATTAAAGAAGGCATGAGTTTTAGATGGCTTGTTCCAGAAGGGATTTTGGTAAACTGGCACGGACAAAGGTACAGATTAGATACACTACAGAAAGCAGAATTATTTTATGAACAAAATATAGCAGCACAGGAGGGAACGCTGGTAAGAGAAGAGGCAGGAGCTAAATGCCAGGAAGCTAAGGGGNGGGCAATTCAATTTTTTGAAGGGTTGATCAACTCGGGTCCAATGTAAACATTAACAAGGAAAAAAAATTCCCTTCATATGTCCATGATGTCTGTCAAAACTGGCCACAAAAGAGACTTTTGTATTCCCAAACAGCTACTTTTGAGGTCAGACACATTGTTGGGATCACAACTGGAAAAGGTCTGAGATCCTAGGATGAGTGGGAGGGGGAAAACTCTTTAAGGCTATCAGATCTGAGCTACCACATTCCAAATGGCCACTACATGGCAGCAGAAAGGCAACATTGAATAAAATAAAATCATGTTGGTATCCAAATGAATAAACACCACAAATACATATAATAACAGACGTCCAGGATCCAATCTGAGTTGGTCACCAAGTTTTTGGACTCATGCTGAAGCCCATTCCCAGGGAACCTCTCTCAAAGCCACACACAACCAAGCACCACATAGATAGTACGCAAAGAACAGCCCAGTGCACACATTCTGGAGAGAGAGAGGTTCCCTGAGGATGGGCTCCAGCACAAGTTCAAAATAAACCTCTGGTCCCAGTGACCACCTTAGATTGGATCCTGCAACTTTATCCTGGGACGTGCCTTCATTCCTGAGTAGAAGACCAACACAACCACCGAATTAAAAGCAATTCTGTTTATTGATCAACATCCTATTGATAAGGTGTTGACCAATACAATACAATAGGTCCACAAATACATGTAATAACAGAAGTCCAGGTTATTTTTGTTCCTTATATACTGGTAAAACCTCTGAAAAGATAAGCCTACAACTTATACTACTAAGTTCATACCCCAAGCTCTGGAAATCATTCTTCACAGAAAGTACATCTTTTTGGGACAGATCATTTGTGAGACGATATATAATAGCATCAACATCACAGTCCTTACTTGCANCAGGCTCCTTTTCGTCTGCGTTGGCCTCCTGTAGCCCCCTGTCAGCAGGAGCTCTGTTTTGATGGCAGAGGGTTGCAGGAGGCTGTTGCGACCAAAAATGGAACCTTGATGAGTGACTTCGAGTTGGCTACGCTAATCCTGGACATGCCTATCCCAGCCATGCCCATCTCGGCTATGCCCATCCCGGGCATGAAGTGAGGATTCCTGTGAGGTGCCCAGAGTGGCTTTTGATAAGATGACTGTATACATATTTTAAATAAAAAAGCAGTTCAGATATTTAATAAGAAAAATCAGTCCCCTTCCTGCAGGTAATTCCTAGGTAATTGAAAGGAAAGAAAGAGTCACAGAGAAAGAAGTGACAAAATACAGCCATTGACTCAGTCTTATTTTCATTTTGTTTGAATACAGGTAGTCCTTCAAAGTTACAACGGTACTGAAAAATGTGGCTTATGACTGTTTGCCACAGTTACGACCGTTGCAGCATCCCCATGATCATGTGATCGAATTCAGATGCTTGGCAACTGGTTCATATTTATAAATGTTGCTGTGTCTCAAGGTCATGTGATAAGCTTTTGTGACCTTCTCACAGGCAAAGTCAATGGGGAAGTCGGATTCACTTAACAACTGTGTTACTAATTTATCAATTGCAGTGATTCAACCTAACTGTGGTAAGAAAGGTCGTAAAACAGGGCAAGACCCACTTAACGAGAAATTTTGGACTTAGTTGTGATCGTAAGTCAAAGACTACCTGTTCTTTCTTGCTTTGCCAGCTCAGTATTGGTTTACGGTTCCCCAGTAAGTAAACTCTATGGGAAATGCAATCTTAGTTTTGAATAAGGGAATCAGCATAGGCATGTGAAAAACATTTCCTGTTTCTGAAAAGACCTGTTTTAATCAAAAATGGCCTAGCATACTTGCAATGTTAGCCACAAAATCGCATAAACAATTTTCTCGAAAGCATACATTTCTGAATAAATATTTTGTAGTGCAGTATGTATACATTGTTTCTGTTTCAAATGCTGATTGATTTGCTGTTTACTAAAAACCTGAATGGGCAAGTTTCTTTCATGAAAACCTGTGTATTTGTACAAGTATATATTTAGGGTTTTTTGTTGTTGCGGGGGGTGGTGGTAATTTGGAAACTTTAATTTATGTAAAAAGACAGTACAAGTTGAAAAGATTGTGTTTCTGTATTTTATTGCTATAAAAATGGCTTTTTCCAGAGCCATGTAAAAAAAACAGCTGTTTTGTAACTGTTAGATTATATTAGCTTTTGTTTACTTTGTTTACTTTCAGTTTGACTAAATGTTCACATCTGTTTGCAGTTCATATGCTTGATAGACTAGGAATCTATGATTTCAAGTCTGTGGGAGCACTTTCCTTGGTCTATAGGACAATTTTGATTTTTCCCACTGGAAAATCCATGTAACCAAGAAAAGAAAGAAGGGCAAATGACTCATTTTTCCCATTTCCATCTTATCCATCCCACTATTTAATCCTACAAAAGTTTTGTCATAGAAGAATGCAAATTTCAAGATTAAAAATAAAGGTAACAAGTTTTTTCAATCGGTGATCATACTTACAATAAAATGTTGACATCACCAAGATTGGGGCAAAGTTATGTTTATTCATTTTTCAGTTATTTTTTTTACAAAATAAGTGGCTCATGACTGAGGCCTATTGGTGTAAAAGTGAATTAGATATTACAGAAGTGGTTTTTTTTTTAATCTATTAGAATTAACCCCCGATTTATTCAGTATTTTCAAACTTTAATACTTTTTGGCATATTTTTCTTTTGATTGCCAACACAGTACTTGTTGCATATTTGCTTTCCTTCCTGATTCACCTACTCCGGTACAAACAAAGAGTTCTATATTAACATACTTCCTGATTATATATTTCAATTCTGAATTCTTAGATTTTAATATTTATAGCCACCCATGAGGGATAGAACAGATCTTGGGGTAATGCCAATACCCAGAATTCAATAGGTTTAAAATGTATGACACACAGGTGTCCCCCCCATCTATTAGTGATTGGATTGGATTGTTTATTTATATGCCGCCCTTTTCCCTGGGGGGACTCAGGGCGGCTCACAATCAAAAGTGATCTGGAGAGTATGCTATTGAAGCTGGATAGGAACTGAAGATTGTGTGTACCATACACCATTCGCTATGAGCGAATACTGGACTTTACTGAAATAAAAAGGCCAAAGGAAGGAATTTCTTGATGAATTTGGAAGACCTTAGCAATAAAGTTATTGATATCTTGTTTAAGTATATTGGGGGAAGTCTAGGTTGACAGGCTTTTGCCATAAATTCAGCCATAACTTACCTATTCCTGAGAAATAAAGCTTTCTTGTTCCAACTTGGTGCTCCTGGATTAATGGACGGTTAAACATGGAGGGTTTTAATTCTGTAGAGAATTATGTATCTCAAAAACTACTGTATTCTTTCTCTTTGCTTAGTCCCATTCACTTTTTCACCTTAACTACAGCCTTTTGGTAGTACAGTACATGTTTTCCTGCAGATGTTCTGGAATTCAGCCCTCCCTGCTTAGTATCTTGTCTTTGCACTGGTTGTGTTAGTGAGGGGAACTATTGGAAGATCCTTTATATCTTTCCCTGCTACAGTATATAAATGTTGCAAGAGAAAAGGATTTGCAAAGCTCAACCTGCAGTTTCTGTCGTTTGTTGTTATAATTGTTGTTGGGACAGTCCACTCTCAACAATATCTGAATCTGATGCTATCAAGCAGGAGGTCTTGGCTGTTTCTTGAGATTTGCATTAAGGTCTGATTTCACATATGAGTTTTAGAATTGGCAGTTGGTTGTTTTGTTTTTGTTTTGTTTTGCAGGAAGGAGTTTTGTGTTATTTTGCCATAGTCTACTCTGCATACAGATCCCACTTTCAACCCCAAGATGAAAGGAGCTAAGAATTATCTCTGTCTTTGTTCTCCTTCTTTACCCCACCCCAAATCAGCAGGTGATTCCATCCTGTTAATCAGGATATCAGAGTTCTATCCTATGTATGGGATTGTTCTATTATGTCCCCCTTTAGGATGTCTTCCCTGCTGTTGAAAAAGGGAGAATGAAGCCCAGTTCTGTGGTGGAGAAAAAGATTTTTCTATTTTTTTTCCAACTTTGTTTTGTTTGTCACCTGGATTTGGGAGTTGGAGGTATAACCCACCTTAGAGCATTTGTTTCATTTTAGAAAGATAAGAGCAGCATTTCACTTAAACATTTGCAATTCCTCCTCCTCCAAATGTTTACCGTTCTTATTTGTGCAACTGAGCAGCAATAACCTTTTAGATTCTAAAAGCATGTATGTTTTTTTGGTCTTCATAATGCAGAATATTATTCAATTTACTATTGATTTATATTAACTAATTTGAATTGTTTTTTAATTAGTTATATTAGGCTTGATGCATTTTAAGATCCTATTAGCTGTATTGAAGTTATTTTATAAGACAGATTTAAATTTTGCAATCAATAAACATATTTTTTAAACTTTTCCTATCTGCAGTACAAAGTTGCAGAAACTACTGCACTAGTTCACTTATACAAGGATTTATAAAGTAATTAAGGTGTTTATATATTCTATAACTATATTTGCATTATTTTACTTTACTGTTTTCTAATGTATTTAATAAAGCTTAGTTTTAATTAAAACTAAGCACAGTGGTTAAATGCAGCACTGCAGGCTACTGCTAGATCAGCAGTTCAGCGGTTCAAATCTCACCGGCTCAGGGTTGACTCAGCCTTCCATCCTTCCGAGGTGGGTAAAATGAGGACCCAGATTGTTGGGGGCAATATGCTGACTCTCTGTAAACCGCTTAGAGAGGGCTGAAAGCCCTATGAAGCGGTATATAAGTCTACTGCTATTGCTATTTTTTTCCTTTAAAAAGAAAAACTTTCTTTTTAAACTTTAGATTAATCAACAATCCCTCTTGTTTTTGCTTACACTTTAAATGCAGTATTGTTATCCTGTCCTGTAACTCTGCAGCTATTGATTCTATTGCAATTGTCTTCCAGAATTTGGAATTGGCTTTAAGAGAAGCAAGGGGACAAGTGGAAGTCCTGCACAATAGATGTGATGACCTGGCATCTCAGCTGGTGATTAAACAGACTGAATTAACACAAAAGGATTTGGATGTGGCCAGAGCTAAGTATGTTTGATATGATAAATAAAATTGGATAATGTTACATTGTTTAGATTTGCACTACTTTATCCAAATGTTTTACAAGTAGTCCTTGACTTAACGAACATTCATTCAGCAACCATTTCAACAAAGGGATTTGTGACAAGTGTCTGAAGTCATGGCCGTTGTAGAAATCCCTCAGTCATGTGATCAAAATTCAAGTGCTTTGAAGATTTCCTGCATTTACGACTGCAGGACACTGCAACTCCCCCATCCGCCTATCTCCCACATATCTACACTCGTTTGGCCCCCGCCACTTTGAACTCTGTTGCCCCAGCTTACTTAAACCATCTTCTTACTCCTGCTGCTGAACAGGCATGCTCAGCCTAACAGCTATGCTATAGAGGGCTAGTTTCCCATGGTAAAAAAGAAAAAAAAAGTACTAAACAGCTTAAAGGAGCAGCACCTCTGAGTCATAAGGGAGTAGCTTCATTTAGAGAAAAAGAAAAAATGCACAAAATTTAAGCTTACAGGTAGCACTTATGATTCTTGAATAATGGTTTAATCTACCATGGCCTCAGAGCAAAAAGGATTTATAACCTGTCCTCAATATTAACAACCATAGTCATGTGATTGCAATTCAGGCACTTAGCAACCAGCTTGCATTTATGACAGTTGCAGTATCTAGCCGTCACATGATCCCAATTTGCCAGCCAGCTTCTGACAAGCAAAGTCATTTGGGGAAGCCAGATTTGCTTAATGACTCTGATTTGTTTAATGGCCATGGTGATTCACTAAGGACCAAAGTATAAATGGTTATAAAATTTGGTCTAGTCATATGACTTGCTTAACAACCACATTCCTTATTGACCAAAATTGTGCTCTCAAAAGGTGCAAAGATAAAAGAAGTTGTCATACTTGGGCTGGTTCTGTTTAGGACCAGGGATCCCTAGAACCAGAGACCTACTTAGATGGCTCCATTGCTGAGTGGCTATTTTTATCTCCTCTTCACCTAGGGTTGGTTTCCCTGTTTTTATAATGTTTGCTGTTAATGACTTTTTAATATTTTTATATCTTTTTCATGTGTTTTTTCCCATTTGTTATGTCCCACCCTAGAGGTGGGTTTCTGCCAGTTCACCCCGGATCGGGCGAACCAATAGTGGTGGCAGCGGGAGGATCCTCCCACCCGCCTGGACACTTCTGTGCACGTGCAGAAGCGAACCGGTAGTAAAATAGTCTTTAGTGAGATGGATAGCTACAGAAATCTGATTATAAATAAATAAAATAAAATTCCACAGTAGACAAAACAGTATGTTGTATATTATGCTATATGTTAACAAGCAAAGAAGCATATCTATTTTTATGGTTACAACTTATTTTTTATTTGTGAATTTGTGGCCAATGAAGACATTTGTTTGTATTTATTCAAGTATCACATATTGCATAACATCAAAGAAATCCCTAAAGAGAGAGAAATTCTGTTATAGGTAGTACTTTTTTCTGTCCACCAAAGCAAAACACGGTGAAGCATGGCCATTACATGTATCTTCAATTTTACAATATAGACTAACCTTTTTCAACCTTCATAGCAGTACAGCTCCCAAAACCTGCATATGGCACTAAGGGAGATCATTTAAAAAGTACAATGCTTAGCATTACATGAAGCATTCAAGAAATGTTTATATTGAAACAGAATTACCCATTTTGTGGTATTAAGATGCACCAGTAAAGCCATTATATGGTTCACATTGCTCAATATTCCAGTAAGAAATGAAAATAAATCTTTATATTGTGAGTATCTTTGTTTTTACCTTTGAGGAGCCCCACTAAAACACTTACATTTTGAACAGCAAAATACTGTGGACATAATATACTTAGACTTTAGTAAGGCATTCGACAAAGTAGGCCACAACCTACTTCTTGGTAAACTATAAACAAGTGGAATAGATAGCATCACCACCAGACGGATTTGTAACTGTCTGACAAACCGTACTCAATGAGTAATCCTTAATGGGTCTACATCTACATGGAGGGCAGTAAGCAGTGGAGTACCACAAGGTTCAGTATTGGGCCCAGTACTCTTCAATACCTTCATAAATGACTTAGGTGAGGGAACAGAAGGGGAACTCATCAAATTTGCAGATGACACTAAGGTGGCAGGAAGAGCCAGCATCCTCGATGATAGCCTTAAGATCCAGATGGATCTCAATAGACTTGAACATTGGGCCCTATCTAATAAAATGAAATTCAATGTAGAGAAAAATAAAGTCTTACGCTTAGGCAAGAAAAACCAAGTGTACATGTACAGATTAGGTGAAACCTGGCTTAACAGCAATAACTGTAAGAGGAATCTTGGAGTCCTAGTGGACAATCAATTAAATATGAGCTAGCAGTGTGCAGCAAGAGCCAAAAAAGCCAGTGCAATCCTAAATTGCATTAACAGAGGGATTGAATCAAGATCATATGATTTACTAGTACTGCTCTATAAAGCCTTAGTAAGACCTAGAATACTGCATCCAGTTTTGGTCACCACACTGTAAAAACATGTTGAAACTCTAGAAAGAGTGCATAGAAGAGCAACAGAGATGATTAGGGCCTTGAAGCTAAAACATGAAGAACAGTTGCAGGAACTGGGTATGTCTAGTTTAATGAAAAGAACAATTAGGATGACATGATAGTAATCTTCCAAAAAGATTTCCATTTTAAATCCCACCAGTTTCCCTTCTGGTCATCTGACCAGAAACAAATCTATTGATTTAATTTTTAGATGATCCATTATTGAAATCACTTAATAGTATACAAAATTTAAACTCCCTAAGGGAGATGGGAAGTCTAGAAACAAATTTAAAATATAAATTTAAAAAAATGAAATATCAGAACTCTTAAACAACTATAAAATTACAGAAGCTGCCTTGCATAGCATTAAAGTATCATTTTGGAAAAAGTTTAAATCTAACAACTAAACATTATAGACCAACTGAGAGATATGTTTGTAAAAGATTTCTAAAGGCTATTGTAGATGTTAGTCTCAGATCTTATTGGGTACTGAGTTTCACTCATTTCCACCCTTTTTTCTTTCCTCCTTTTGAAGCAGCTGCATGCCAGCTACAATAGCAGATGCTTTTGGACTTGAATGTGGGTGTGTTGGGAGAAATCATGACAATGGATTGCATTAGAGAGAAGAAAGGAGTGTTACAGGCAAGAACTGAGCAAAGCAAAAGATTTAAGACCAAAGTTAGTTTGGTGCGTCTGTAGGAGCAGAGCCAGTTTGCTTCAGATGACTAGAGGCATGGAAGAAACAAGACATTTTTTTCAGAACTGCTAAAAGCTGCAAACAATGAGAAGAAAAGCAGAATCTACCAGCCATGTGAACTTTTATATCATACTGACATCAAGCCAACATTAGTAAACATTTCCCCTCACAGTCAGAATCCAAGAGATACCAGAGCTCTTGTAGCAGTTCAGACCAGAGACAATTGATACCTGACTGTAAGGCCAAGAAAACGCCAACCAGCAACTGGCAGTCAAATCTGGAGATTCTGATTCTAGTAAGGCTAGAATCCGGCTGAGAAGGAAAAAAGACCCTTAGTTTCTTCTCATTTCACAGCTAGGAAAACTGCTGAAGACAGGGCTAGCTAAGCCATGATAACTAATATATATGTGGGTAATTTATGCTAGCATGTTGAAGGAAGAGAGAGGGAGAAAGCAAAATCGGAACTATGTTCCTATGGCATAATAAACCTATTGTACTATATAAGAATACCTATATAATAACTACTACCGAAAGAAATGTGTAAGATATATAGGAAACAATATATCCATGGAATAACTTAGATAGAAAATACAATTTCAAATGTATATAGAGTGATAAAATATTGAAAAGGTCATAGACATTCTTAATTTTGTTTGAAAGAACTAATTTTTGTATAATATACTTCCATTTTTGTGGCCGTATCCATTTTCCCAAAGAACCATCATAGAGTTCTACAAATTATTTTTGAATCTAGTATATGCAAGTTACTTCCACTAATTAGCAATAATATACCGGTAATAAAATATCTTGGAATATAAGTGCCTTTTCCTTTCCTAGCACAAATGCTTATATTGCATATGTCATTTTTCTTATAAATTTAAATCTTGTTTTTTGCTCTAAGAGTTAAACATTTTTTCCAGTTGTCAGGCAAACATCAGGACAACTCACCAGGATCTGTTTGAAAAACATAAAAAAGAATAGGAGAGATCATCATTGTTCTAAACAAATCCATTTCACATTTTAATATCATTTTATTTATTTATTAAATTTATATGCCATCCATATCACCATTGAGCAACTTTAACATTTAATTAAGAAATCTAAGATATATAACCTGCACTTATTTAAAATGAAATGTGTACATTTATTTTAACGCAACTTACAGGGCACATGAAAAAGTAGCATTTTAGTATGTTTATAAACTAATTGATGCAATTATGATTAAGAGTATTTTTAGACAATTGAGAGAATAATAGATTGCCATAAAAATAAAACAATTAACAAGACTATTATTTGAGTTCACCATGCTCTTTCTTTTGTTCAACTTCATTGTTTCTTGCTTGCTTTGCACAGGAAAGAATTGCAGGAGCTGCAGAATCTCTACAAACAAAACACGGAACATGCAGCACAGCAGGCAGAGCTGATCCAGCAGCTTCAGGCTCTCAATACAGATACGCAAAAAGTACTGAGAACTCAGGAGGATGCTCACACAGCTGAAACGATATCATACCAAAAAGTATGCCTATTCCCTCTTTATTAAAATATATATTTTCTTCTACCTCTATTTGATCTGAGAATCTAAATTTTTTACCATAGGTGCAAATCCACTTTCAACCATGAGTAGTGGTGTACAACCATAATAGAGTTTGAAATTTCTGTTGCTAAGCAAGGTAGCTGTTCAGTGAGCTTTGTGCCATTTTACAACCTTTTTTTGCCACAGTTGTTAATCAAATCAATGCAGTTGTTGTGATTTATGTGGTTGTTAAGTGAATCTGGCTTTCCCCATTGACTTTGTTTGTCAGAAGCCAACTAGGAAAGTTACAAATAGTGATCACATGACCCCAGGACAGTGCAAGTGTCATTACATGCATGCCAATTGCCTAATCCCCCTCCTCGAGTTGATCACACAATGATAGGAATGCTGCAACGATTATTAATGTTAAAAACAGTGATACGTCACTTTTTTCAATGCTGTTGTAACTGCAAACAAATGGTTGTAAGTCGATGACTACCTGTATAACTCTTTGACTGGTTTGTCCATTACTTTTGTGTCCATAGAATCATTATAACAATACTATTCCAGGTGTTCTTTGTAGCTGAAGAAGTAGCCTATTTAGAGCAATACTACTTTTTTTTTAGATATGAAACATAGTGAAGTGCCATTGTACTGTACAAGTTTACTTTGCCTTACCCTGTGACATATAGTACCTGATATTTCTTCAATTAATGCTTGGAAGAGTGCAGTGTGGGTATTATGACCATTCTAGTTTTATCTTGAACAGTGTTCTTTAAAATAATGAGACTTCAACCCTTTTTCTTACTCTGTTACAAAACTAAAGTGACTATTTTAATTTACTACACTATTCTACTCTACTACATAACACTGTTTGAGAGTGGTCTGTTTAATGTACTTGTGCTGCAATTAGAAGAAATCTAGGAACTGTAATTTCAAACTTGAAAAAATGGAAATTATGTGTTGCCTAAATGGGAAACTATTTTCAATGAGTTAGCTCCCATGTAGATTTGTTTGTAGTCCACTGAAATAACTTTCTTTTATGAAATTTTCAGTCATTCTGATGAATAAATATTTAGAAGCCAAGACCTGAGTGAAAGGAAGTCTTGTATTTTAAAACAAAACTTCTAAACTGTAAATTTCTGAGTACTGTGATAAGATAGTCTAGAGACTGAGAAACTCTCCTTGTCTTATTATCCTTGGTATTGATTTAAGACTTACCACCTTGAGTCTTAGGTGAGGACAAATCTATTGAGTCTCATTAAAAAAAAAACCACTGCAGGAGCACTTTGTCTGCTTGGGACTAGTAAAATAGTTGGTATATATTTTTAGAAAATATTTTTTCTGGTAGAAGTACTGTAAATATGATATAAAATAGATGTCAAGGAGTTTCTTTGAATGTACAATATTTGCTTTGAATAAGGGGGAAGTTGTGTTGTATGAACTCCAACTAGATTTTAGTGTTGAAATGATAGTCTCTGTAAATTATTCTGGAGATTATTGATGTGATTTCCAAACATTGCTGAAATTTCCAACAACGCATCTATTGTAGCTATATATAGATGAGATTTAGAAACATCACAAAATATGATTATTATGCTAATATCATGATTAATGTATTTTTGGATTTCTCATACATGATACTTCCCCCCAAATTCCCAGATACTTCCTCCAAATTCCCAGAATTTCCAATTACCGGCTAATAGCAATAGCAATAGCAGTTAGACTTATATACCGTTTCATAGGGCTTTTAGCCCTCTCTAAGCGGTTTACAGAGTCAGCATATTGCCCCCAACAATCCGGGTCCTCATTTTACCCACCTCAAAAGGATGGAAGGCTGAGTCAACCTTGAGCCAAACTGCAGAACTGCAGCCTGCTGAAGTAGCCTGCAGTGCTGCATTTAACCACTGCGCCACCTCGACTCATATTTAGCATTTATATTATATTACATATTTCAATAAAAATGTCTTAAAACAATTATAAAGGTATTATACAGACTTTTTAGATCATTTTTTTCCATATACATATATATATATCCATCACCTTTCCCTTTAGTGTAAATTACATTCAGAATGCAGGGAAGGACTAAAAAATAGTAAGCTAAGGAAATAAAAGGCAGAAAGAGGAAAAAAGCAGGAAGAGGAGGAGGAAAAAATAGTAACAGAGAAGTAATTACATTGAGTACCTTATACATAGTTATAAGTTTCTATATATTTTTCTTTTTCCAAACCAAACTTAACTTTCAGCACATACATATACTGTCTTTTATCGTTTAAACTTATCCCCATTCTTTCCCCCTCAAATCCCATCAACATCATCTAACTATGACTTTTTCAGTCTCATCTTTTATCTCAGCTTACTTGAGAGCCAGTCTGGCTTAGCGGTTAAGGTATTGGTCTAGAAACTAGGGTTGAAAGCCAGCTGGGTGATTTTGGGGCAGTCACATGCTCTTAGCTGAACTCGCCTCAGCTGAGAGAGAGTTGTGTAGAAAATAGAAGGAAGATGTATTGGTGTGTTTACTGTATTGAGTTGTATAAAGGGCACAATAAAAAATCCCCCATATTCATGATTTTTTAATATACATTTGTTTTGTAATTCTGTCCTAATTCATTTTCTGTACATGACTAAGCCACCTCAGTGTATTTGTTTTCCACTTTTTGTTCAATGTTGCATTCAGTGTTATTCATTGTTCATTCCTTCATTCTTGGTCCTCTCCTTCATTTGTTTACCACATGGACTTCTGTAGTCATTGATTCCCATTGTTTGTAATTTGTATGTTTTTTCTGAAATATTCCACTCTCGTTTCCAAATAACAGTGGGCAATAAATATAGATTTAGACTGCCATATTTGTCTTTTTTCAACAGTTTCATTTTTCATAACAGACCACCTGTTACTTACTAACTTTCTACCATTTCTTAATTTACATGTTTACATGTCTTAAAATTTATCTATTGACATTTTACCAAGATACACACATTCATTTGCTTATTCTACTTATTTGCCAACACTTTTGCTTCATTGTTCCACCCGCCATTATTTTTCATGCTTCCAAAGCTGTACACAATTCTTTTCACTTTGTTTCAGGAAAGTTCTCCATCAATTTTCCTTAAATCCATTTTTTATTCATTCTGTTTAGAAAGTATTCTGTTTTCTAATTCTATAGTTTTATCCCATTGAACTATGTCTTGTTGAATTATATCTTAGAATGGAACTGTGTAGAATTGAGAACAAAATTATATATTTATTTAAGCCATGGTTTCTTCTTCTTCTGTCTATTCTCTCCCAATATACCTCAATGTTATTTCAAAAGAGACTATATCTTAAATAATGTGCTAATGCATTTAATTTAGTATATATCTGCCATGTGACTTAAAGTGCTGAGTAACAGATCTGCTGTCAAGGTCAATATATCATCATACATGCATGCTGATAGGCTTGATTCTGTTTGATGTGTTTAGTTTAGAAAATGAATATAAGATAGTTCTCTTCAAATACTATATTTTTTGTCAGGGGAATTTGAAGTTTGTTAACTATTTTGTTTAGAGGATGAAGACTGTCACTTTGTAACAGCATGTCTCTTGTTTATGATAACACATTTTCATAAAATGTATCTATTTGTTTTAATTAGCTTTATAATGAATTGACAATATGTTTTGAAAAACTCAAAGCAAGTGAAGTTCAGCTCCGGCAAAATCAAGTTCCTCTCCAAGATAAATTATTTGAAAAAGAACAACATATCATTCAACTAGAAAAGCAACTTCATGAGGCCTTCTGTTCTGCATCTTCATTATCCTACCAGACTTATCCAGAACCAAGAAAGGGGGTAAGAGAAAATTAACATTTTTAAAGAAAGCTTAAAAATGAGCTTATGGATTTCAAATAATAGCTTATAGAAATTCCTATGTATTGCTATAATAATGATGCAAAACCTAGCATTCCTGTAATATTAATTAATTGTTAACATTTAATTAATTAATTGAAAATGAAACTGATTATTTCCTTCTGTAATTTATTTACTTTTTTGCCAGAAACTTACTTTCAAATGGAAGAGAAACTACAATTCAAAGAAAAAATATCAAAAAAGATTGATTAAACATATTTTGATCTATTAAAAATGTTTCAGAATAATTGACAAGAAAGATTCTAAAAAATATAATTAAGGCATATATAAAATATTAGCTGTTGTATTAGCTAATGGAGCACAGAGTTTTATTTTTTAGGAAAAAATGTATCTAAGTCACTGTATATCAGCTTTCATATTTGCATAAAAGCACCATCAATTTTCTAGACAAACAAGGAATACACACACACACACACTCATACACACACAGACACACACACACTGTTCCATTGGGGACATTTGATCATGGTCCTACTATTCGGGTGTTTTGGCAGAAATAACAGTAATAAGACAAACAATATTCCACTGACTTAAAATAACCCACACTTTATTATGGAAATCCATACTTCCCCTTCAAAACATTTATTTAATCATATGAGAAATATTAAATTATTGTTTAAAATCTATTCAGTTAAGAAACTTACGATTTCTTGGTGGTTATTGTCCTATAATAATTCATCAAATGTGCTTAAAGATTCAAAGTATTTGAAAGTAGCAGTCGGAAGTAGCATTTCATTTTTTTTCTTACTTTAGATAATGTAAAAGGTAGCAAAAAGCCATTTCAGTTAAGCTATACAAGAACAGTTTTTGGTTTTACTAGCCTCAAGCTTCATTAATTATATTCTTTTGCAAACATGTTTTCCTCTCCTTCTGATCTACTATAAAAGTACCAAAAATAAGCATTTTTCCTTTACCCTTGGATAAGCACACATTAGCAACTTATAGAAATAACATAACTTATGCATATACCTTTTACACACACACACACACACACACACACACACACACACACACACACACACACACACCCTCTATGTGCCTATCCTGTGTTAACCTCTGATACCTACCTAGTTAAGAGAAGGCTTAATGTTACACTGATCAGCACCTCCCCATCCATCAAATTGGCTGTGGTCTGCTGACTTTTCTTAGGTAGGCAATTTTTTTTATTTTCTGTCATCTTCAATTGCAATGCCAGCCTTCTAAATTGAGTAGAACCATTCTCTCAGTACCTCCTCCTCTTTACCACTCTTTTTCAGAAAGT